TCAGACGTGTGCTCTTCCGATCTCCCCAAAACCCCAAAACCCCAAAACCCCATACGGAGAATATTAAAGAGGAACTGTATGGAAAAGGGATTGAAAAAAATTAATTTAGCTTAAATAATTGAGATCCCAATAGGAATTCCTACTATGTATAGGACTTGTTCATATATATATACATTTATAATAGTAACCACACACCCATATATACATTGATAAGTGAATGTAGTGGTAACTATCACAGGATACTGTAGTTCGATGATGATATCTAATAATTGTTTCATAAGTTTTCTACACTTTTTTACATGTTGTACAGCTGTACTAGTGAGTTAGACTAACTCTTTTTATCCATTGGCTTGGATGTGAGATTCTCTTTCATGAAATTTCTTGATTTTAGAGAATCTTTTGCTCTTCTAGCATTTGTATTGGTCACAGCTATATGAGTTGTGTTGGGAAGAAGCTTCTGCGACTCAGGCTCTTGATCTGACTGCTTGCGATAGTTTATCTGGATCTGTTTAATATTGGAGATTAAGCCATTTGTTGGTGAGTCAATTATACTGTCATCCTCATTTTGTTAATCTTTTCCAATTAAGCAGCCATTTGTAGAGTTACCAAATTAGAAATAATCATTATTGCTAAAACTGGATTCTTCATTTTACTTCCTTTTTGGGGCTGTTTTCTATTCAATAGAGGGGCTAAGCTTCATATTCTAGGTCTAGAAACTCTTGACCTATTAAACAGAGCCAGAAGATTAGTTGAATTTCTTGAGAGTGAATGAGTGATGACTCATTACTGATTTAAGCTATTGAAAGTTTCTTGTGGTGTCTCCGGCCAGCATTTTCTTGTAACCTATTTTATTTGTAATCTAGGTTCGCTTTTCATCTGATTTATTCTTGGTTGTATGGGCTGATGTCTAATGAATGCTACTGGTCTCTTTGACACTTGGTAAGTTCTTCTTGTTAGAATGACTCAATGAGCCATCCTAAGCGTACTAAGGAGACTTACTGGCACTATTATTGATGAAATTGTTCACGTTTTTAGAGTTATAGGTGAACAATTATTTTCTCGCTGGGCTATTTTAGGCGGTAGCGCTCATTCCTAGATCAAACTTGATACGCTCATTACTTTTAATTTTGCGAGTCTAATAAGGAGTTTTTTATGAAGAGCTTGGTGACTTTGATTCCTCATTTAGGTTAAGCTTTTGCATAGGAGAATTAGATTCAGCGAAAAAACTTGATACTTTCGGGGAATTTTATTTTTATTTTTTTTCCTCTTGATCTACCTTTTTATGATAGCCATCAATTAGAACATTAGGGATGGCTTTAACATTTAAGTTGGTGAAAGCTTTGAGTTGAAGAGGCTCTTTAGATAGTGAAGGTAAGACAGGATTCTTCAAGGGAGTTGTTTTCTATGATTATGCGATTTTTTATTTGAAATGCCTGACAATCGATTCTTTAGATATACTCGGTATTTTATGTTCTATCTGTTCTTCAATCATACTGGTAGTAGTCACAGTTTCTGTTATCTATTAATTGCTTGAATCATAATTCTCTGTGATAGTTCGAGTCATTAGATAAGAATGATCCTGATCCTCCCCTCTGTCAGTCATGTTTATGATCGAGGTTTTATTTCTCTCGCTCACCGAATCAATGAAATTTTGTATAGTGCTCATTCTGTCTCCTGAAACAAATGTCGAAGCTTAAGTCGAGAAAGAAAATCTGGCTTCTAGAATTTCTAGATCGCTCTTTAATTACTTTTTCTTCTCAAGTATTTGTTCCAAGATTATTTCAGCCTATGGTTTGTCATCTAGCTTGGCGATTGCAGCATGATAATAACTAGGGACTTTAGAGTTGTTAATTGGAGTATAATTGTATGATGGATGAGGAGTTGGTATTGGTTTTTCGTCCTCAAAATCGAATTCATACTTCTGAGAATTCCTTGCCCTATGAAGATTCAACTATTCCTCTTGAGCTTGCAAGAATTACGACAGTCTTCCGAAATTCTCAATGCCCATATTTTGCTGATTAGATTAGTTGTAATTGGTATTCATTAATCTTCCGATTGCTTTTAAATTCTTATAGCTTTTACTAATAAATAAAATATTAACTCGATATTTACACGAAAATAATCAATTTCTATCAGCAACTAATATTTCTATTCGCAGGGGTTTTGGGGTTTTGGGGAGATCGGAAGAG